ACATTGAAGATTGTTTCATGGAACTGCATATCACATTGATGATTGTTTACGTAATGACTGATGTCACTTTGTTGGTAGAATATAAAAACATAACTTTTTGGTATTTATGTCATTGTTTTCATTCAATGGGAACATGGGTAATTTCACAAGAGATTACAACATTGCACTTGTCAATTAACAGTATCGTGTATACATGATTATGTGACCATTGAAATCAGCCAAGAGTCCGTTGTAAATGTCCATTTTATTAAAGTCTCAATACTGAGAAATGTCACTCGAAATTGACGTGGTTCATTGTTTCAAACTAAACTGTCGAAATGCGGCATCAATATTTAACAAAGCACCTCAATCCTTCGTTATTTGAACTAATTAGTAGATGGTCTAGCTGATACTCAAGTATGATTGAAAAAAGATGTAGAGTGAATGATGAACTAGTAACGGTTCTGTCGTAGCATTGGTAATAAGATGAGAGATTTGAAAGAAACATACTGAAGTGTTTGCGTCAATGATTGATCCTGTGATTAAACATAACTTGGCTAATAATCGGTCCTATTCTCATGGATTTGTGAGAAACTAGTCGACAAAAAGTCATTTGCATTAGGTGTTCTCGTTAGTTCTCGTTAGTGTTTAGGACTGAAAAGTGTTCAGTCTTTTCATGTTATATGTGAATCATGCACGAGCTTCTACGATATTGCCATAAGGTCACAAAAAATAAAAGCAGAGTTTGTTAGTGGCCAGCAATGAAATCCATGACACTCGTCATTTCGTCACGTTTGAGACTCGTTAGCTAGCTGAATCTGCATCACAGAATTGATATGTCACTGCTTTACTCATACTCGATATTGTTTATTTCAAACATCGTCGCGTCATCCCCTAAGCTACTCAGTCTGGATACCCACTGGCTCCTACAAACAACTTCAATGTAATATATATAATGAGGTGAACACAGACATGATAAATATTTGTCCTGTGGCAGTCTGCATTCCCAAACATCACTTCTTCCCCGTGATGCTGAGTGCTTGAAATGTGACAGAAATTGTTAGATTATGGTGGCATGTTAAACTACTGTTCATTTCGTTAATGATGATTCCAAACCCCGTTATTAAATCTTAATGAGATTGGAGCATTTAATGATAATAATCCACATCTAATCATGATGCTTAAGGTTGTTGTTTCCACATAAAACGGCGATTATATACCTCTTTTGGTTCGTTCCATAATTCGATTGTTGACAAACGCAGTATACAGTTTCGTTATTTTATACAAAACTTTGACTTTACAAAGTCACAAAGTGAACCTGCCTTCAATAGCTTTCAAAGAAGATTCCGATGCTTTGATTGAACATTTCATGGCTGATTGCGTTAAGTGCTGTGAATGGATAAGAATTCATTCCTCAACGTTGAATTCCCATTTGTTGAAGCTAACGCACACCACAGGTGATGCTGCAGATATGTTTAGTCAAGCTCATTGTTCTAGAGTGTGCAGTGAAGCTGATTTGAAGTAAGTCCTTGTTCGGATTCTTCTGGATAGACGTTTATCAGATTTGACAACGACTATCACTCTTTGTGGTCTATTCAAATATAGTTCCCTTCCATTTCGTTTATGTTGTTCTCCAGCCACATTTCATGAAGTGGCCCATAATGTAGTCAATGATCTTAAAAGTGTTGATGTTTGTCCGGATGATCTCAATCATTATGGTTTTCATAAAATATCTCACGCTCAGTGGCATACTACTCTTTTCGTAGTCTGCTTGAGAAAAAATCGTCATTAAGTCAAATGAAGTTTCATTTTATGTGTTTGGTATTGAATGTCTTGGATATTAAGCTGACATTTATGATTCCAGACCAGATATGAGGCGATAGGCTTCACTTACAATTTCACCATCTCTAAAAACCCCTACACAATCATATTAACCAGCAGGCGCTCTTCATTATTATTCGCTTTTTATTTCTGATTTTCTTTATCGTACAAACTCTCTTCATTGGTACTTGAGGTATGTAACATGGGCAATACAGTCAACGAGTTTACAACGAGTTCAAGGTTGTACGGTTACTTCCACAATCGAAGCTTGATGAAATCATTACAGTATTCTCAGACTGGACAACATATCTCATAATGATGAAATAACCGCCTCCATAATGAGCACTCAGTTCATCATTTGTAGTGTGAAAGAAATAGTATTGTAAAGTATCACAGCTTTTATCCCTCCAGTTTAAATAAACGTTTAAAAACTGATTACTTTTGCTTTCAACTCTTCTCTTTATCCAACACTGATTTCACAAAGAATAATTCGTTTACACAACTTTTGTCACTGATGTTTTGAATGGACTAATACCTCCTGTAAGATCCATTTTGATGGTTTTGTGTGTGTGTGTATGTGAAAATCCCTCCATGTATACATTTGTAGTTTGTTCCTATTGTTGTTCGTTTAGTTGTACATTTTTTTATTCGTTTTGGCTCCATTTGCATTGGTATCAGAAAACTCACGAAGTTATAGATGTTTTCTAACAACATTCCGGTTTTCTCTAAATGTAGTGTTAGCGTTCATACTGGCATCGAATGATGGAATATATGTGAGACTATTCTTTTCCAAACAAAACTTTAAACAGCAGTAGAATATTGTCAGATTGGGTATCCGTTGAGATTGCAGTAATTTTAACATTGGGATTCGGTGGAGATGCTAATGTACTGTGTTTACGATGAAGACGGTGCTCCACGGATATCTCGCCTTCATCATAGGTGACGCAAGTTAGCATAAGAGCGAATAAGTAGTATTTTGATTGGCGAATAGATTACCTGATAACAAGAGGATCATAAAGTCACAACACAAATAAATCTTTATCATTCATCCTCCTATTCTTCTGTTAGTGTACTAAATCGTATAAGTCTAGAAGTAGATGTCAAGAATAGAAGGATTGTGTAGTGACTAGTCTATGGAAAAGTGAGCCCCACGTAGAATGGTATTTCATTAGAAATGTTAGTCAAAAAACAAGCAGTCTCTTTATTCATTTCAAGTTAAATCAATCGTTTGATTTGACAGTCTGTGAAGAGAAATTATCAATATATTTTGATTTAGATCATGAACCAATTGATGTTAGACGACCATTGTAAACCTGGAAGCACTGGACGACCGTCCAGTGGAACGATCGCCGTTTGCTCGTTCATTTCGTTTGGAATCACCAAGTGATTTCACCAAACAGGACGATATCATCTGCGTACTGTAAGTCGATAAGTGGACCTCTACGAAGGAGATCAATGCCCGAGAATTCAATCGACGAGAACGTTATTTCCATCAGTAGGTCTATGATGAAGTTAAACAAAAATAGAGAAAGTGGACAACCTTCACAGACACCAATTGATGTTGCAAAATCAGATGACAGCTCGCCATAAGCTCTGACTCCACTAGTAGTGTTCGAGTGAAGAGCCTTCACAAGGTTTATGTACTTCTGATGTGAGCCTTTCAATGACAGACACTGTCACAGCACCTCTCGATCCACAGAGTCAAATGCTGCTTTTTAATCAAGAAAAACTATCAACAGTACTCATTCATATATATGTACAACTCTAATCCTTAAGAAATTGATCCATTTAACGGACAATGACATGGAAATGTATTTCAGGTCACTTGTGATTGCCATCGGTTGATATTCGCCTTAGACTACTTCTGATTAGCTCTCCATATCAACGTATCTCTTATTCATTATAGTTATCTATTTATGAAAATATGTCACAAATGTTTTACGTAACTACAGTATAATTTCCATACAGAAGCTTTCAGGAGAATTGCATAACTTTCCTAATTGGTTCGATATTCACTAAATATGATGTGTATGGATTTATCATTTATTTATGTCAAATGGTGGGGGCCAATCGGTGGAGGACCGTGATTATCCAACTACTTATAATATGTAGACTTGACAGTATGACATATCTGTAATCTTGAAGGGATTGTAGTTCTCTGAGTACATTGAACCCATATTACCTAATATCAGTCAAAGAACCTCATATTGAGTTACTAGGATTGAAAGTGATCTCCAGTAATATTCAGATATTAATGTTACTAGTATTTGATCATAGGTGTCTTTGAAGCATTGATCGTATATCCTGGTACCACTGAGTGAGTAATCCAGTTGTTAGGAAACGAGTACTAGAGGAGGATGGAAAATCAATTGATGGATTAGTGAAACTTCATCAGTTAAGATCACTGGGACATTTGTTTCGTATGCCCAAACACCGACTGCCGCGACGTGTGATGTTTTATGGTGTAGGAGTATGTTTGAAGGAAACTTGAGGCGGCTAAACCAACACATGACACGAATTCATGAAGTCACTGACAAGTTTACTGAGACATATTAATAGATGTAGACTGCCGTGTTAAGATCCGCTAGACGACAGCAACCGATGGTTATAGATCCTGAATGAAATGGCTGAAAATCGTTTGCAATGGCTCAGGTGCATCCATTCCTTGTTTTCTCCCAAATTCTAATATTCTGAATTATTCATGTCCCTGTATTTTTTCTCCTTTGAAATTTATTTCACTGGATTATAATCCTTGAATTACATTTTCAAATCCTAAGGTTTCCGATTACTGCTTGTACTTTTACGTTGTTACTGACTGACTAATTGACTGACTGACTTACTGAACAGTAACTATAGTAAAGTTTGTCTAATCGCATTCCGAGTTCATTCGTTTGGGTTAAGAAGCTCTTGGTTCACGTAGAATCTACCACATTATCCAATAATATCGATTTAGTCTACACTCATAAATATCTAAAGAAATCAATTAATCTTTCCAGAAACATTCTACAATTAACATTAAAGAGCAAAGTTAAGATGAACACTGATACGATGGATGTCATACATACCAATGCTAATTATAATGAGATGAATGATATTTTAAGAAAACACTTATTTAAAAAGAAATAAAGACAAACTTGATCTTCATGTCATAGAAATTAATTCACACAATTGTTTCTAACTACTTTTATCGATATAAGTAGTTAAATATGAATAAAATTTGATAGTAACCAATTTCTCACTGCATATTCATGTGATTGTTTCACAGAAAATGTAGCATAATTAGGCAAATTTTGACATGAATCATCATCAAGATGATCTAACTTCTTCCGATCTTCATCTATTTCATTTTCATCAAGACTAGATATTGAATGTGGAGATTTTTCTTTTGGAATATAAGAACATCGTGGTGACAATGGACTCATCCTATTCCTTATGTAAATTGAAGAAAAACAGAAAACATGTATGGTTGATAATCATCAAGAGAAAAACAAACACGTATGAAATTGCAACTGTTATTCAAAACTATTAAATCAAGAAATTACAACTTCATAGATTAGAAAAAGATCAACCGTTGGATGAATATCGCCAATGATAACACCTCAGATTATAAGAATATTTGATGTCTATTTTAAACTCAGAGGCCACACCCTTAAAACGAAGGTAAGGGCTTCATGTCTTTTAAATTTAGAGATCATCTGAATCGCCTTTAACATTTATCAATAAACCCATCATAGTCGTTGTTGCTGATTGTATTTGGGTTTATGGATTGGTTTATCATATTAGCAGCCTAAAATGCGGACATGGTTTAGATAATAAAATTAGAAATTTAGAGACTATCAACTACACTAGTCAAATAATCAAATTCTCAGGTAGTTTTTGGCTAAATAGATGTTTAACATCAAAACTCTGGAGCCTACTAAAATTGACGCTTGACGAATACTTTCGAATTAAAATTTATAATATAACAATGTAGCTCTGATTCTTTAACGCTACAAATTTCTGATAATTTCGAATCACCTAAAGCAACAATACCTATTTTTCCACTGGCTAATCCTCAATCAACACTATAACTAGTCAAACATAATAGTTTCAGGATTTCGTCATAAAATGATTGTCACGACTTGACAATCACGTAATATGATTGATGAAATTAATGAAATCGTTCAGCGAACTGACTTATAATTATCACTAGTGTTGTTTTTCTTTTATCTTCATTCACTGCAGATGATTACAGTATGTTTCTCTATCAGTTGCTCATTCAGTAAATATCTCAAAACCTTGTCAGTCTAATTGATGGTTTAGCGACAGAATCATGCATGCAAATAATCAGTTTAAGCAGTCGAGCAAATCTCCTGCAAACTGAAAACATTAATGTCGAATTTACCTCAACACTGACTAAGGTTCAAGCCATTATGATAGACTTGAGTTGGGAGTGTACTCCCCTTGGTTACAACTTGTTTCCTCCCTGATAATCACATGAGCGTCACTCACTGTTAATTATCTTGTAAAAACTTATTTAGCTGAATACATCTTGCAGCACATCACCTAGTAATGTAGTATATAGACTTAACTGATTTCAGTAACTTATAATCACTTTATCTCAATTGAATCGTATTCCGCCTTATGATAAACTGCATACTTGCAACTAACTTGTATGCATCATCAGCGGTCAGGTATAAATATGTATAAATAGTCTATGGCAACTCAGAACATTGAGTCTAGAGTATGTCTCTTACGAATACACTCATGTTTAACGATTTGTTCTTAGCTATCTGTCCAAAATTCATATAATTATCATTCACGTATTTAAATTTTGTTTTAATAACCATTCATGTGTATTAGTAGTATTATTAAATTCTATCACGGTCAAGTAAAAATGAGGTTGAGAAAATCTACCCGTAACTAAATAAACCGTATCAAACTAAATGGAACACTACTTGGAATTCTGCTCCACGGTAATACTTTTGTTCCTTCAGTTAGCCGACTAATACAAATGCAATTGGAAGTCAACTCATATGGACAACTTACCGGCATAATCGTTATCCGATTTCATAATTTAAACCAAAACTAATACTAATAGTAACATTTCTACAATACTGATTACTTTTAATATTTCTAAACACAAAATACACACCACGTATGAGTTAAGTTATTAACCCAACGGCTATTAACACGCATCGTTTTATTATTACTATTGTAATCCCATTTTCTATAGCTCAAATAATTTTCACCAAAATTTTCATTTTAAGCGTGTTAAGCATGAGGGAGGGATTTTAAAATTATTACAAATATTTCCCGACCAGATGTTGCCGCCTTCTTTTTGATTTATCTTTCAGCTTATCATTACCCGGAGGATTCTTACTAGTCTTGGTAACCTTAAGCGCACGACAATCCCATCCAATTCGGTATCGAACCAACATCACGTTGATTCTGGTGGGAGAGTAGTGTAGTGGCATTGGACCATAATCACACAATTCTCAAAGCTGAACACGAGACTACTCGGAAAATAGATATTCAATATTCAACGTGGAGGAATACCTAACGGTGGGGAAGGCGCGAACAAGGAATTAAAGTTATTCGGATGGCATGGCTCAGCCATGTAGGCGTGGTCCCTCTGAATATTACCTTATATCTTTTATTCATAATAAATATATTGTTCTTTCTCTAGCCTAAGCTTGTTCTTCATCATGTATTGGCAGTTGTTACGATACAGTGAGTTGGTGTAGACGATGATGTGACTTCCACGTAAGATCTTATAGATTAGGCAGTTATATCATGACAAATCTACAAATTTAGGATTAGATCTATTATTAAAGCAGTACTAATATCATAGTAGACCATAATTCGACATTGATAAGCCCGACTAAAGAAACGCATCCTATTACCAATAATCCTAATTCGCACTTTAACCTTGTCGATCGATTTTATATTTATGTTAACCCAATATTCTAATAGTTCTCTGATTAATGCTAACATGCATTATCGTAATGTTATATTGATTATTAATTATAACATACTCACTCAATCGATACCAATCACCGATTATCTATATCAATTAGCTTTGATAATTCATTAATAAGCTTTCATAGCATTTATATGTTTCTGTGGAATAAACTTGTTGAAACATCTAGCTCTATCTAAATACAACGTGAATATACATCGACTAACAATGCAATCAACGACTAGATAGTTACTATTATTATTATCATCATTCACAAACATCTTATGGGTACATAAGTGTTGTGAAGAAACCATTTCGAATTTCTTCAAAACATGCAATAATACACACTTTTCAATAATGTCAGCAATATACTTGCCATTTAAAAAAATAAAAAAAATTTAGAGCAATAATAGTAGACAATTAATAATAATAAATCGAGTATATGCAATTGAGAAGAATGTTGAATTGAGTTTAAAGAAGGAAATGGAGAAAATAAAGGAATACAAATAAAGGAGACGTGAAATACGCAAACAGTCTAATAGGCGTGTTTGCGAACACAGAACAAGAATAAACGACTATGTGCGTATCATTAAATTAGTAACAAGAAAATAACTTATAATTGCAGTAAGATATGACGCTAGAATATAAATGTTTGTGCAGTCACATAGCTTGGAGTGATGCGATGAAAGTCTCAAATGAGTGAAAAAGATAATAAAATATCAATATGTATGAATAGTCCTATATGCATAGTGAAGATAAAACGAGTCTGACAAGTTAATTTAAGTGTAACACAAGTTATTTTCTTTATTACAAACTTCGTAATCTTAAGAATAAGATTTATTTAGAGGGAAAGTAGAGAGACAAGAGAAGTGAACACTTGGTGAAAAGTTTTGATCCATGATAAGAATAATAATTGTGTAGTGAATAGCAACCTCAGAAGGAAACCAGCAATTGAGAGAAATAAAATAAAAATCCCTTAAAGCACTCGGATGAATACATTTAGATTTATGTAATAGTACACAGAGTGAAACCGGATATTAGTATAAACACTTGTGCAATAATAATTAAGATTGATGCTATGAAAGTCAAAATTGATTTTAAAGGATAATCTGGAGTTAAATATGTTTAGAAGGATAAGAAGATACAAAAAGAATATCTAATGTGTCGGGGAACTAATAATGATGTGATTATAACAGTAATAATGATAAACACGAACATAAGCAGATACCATATATTAAGATAAATAGAAATGAAATAAAATAGATGTGGAAAGATTTAAAGGTTTTATTTTGCTTTTCAAGCAATTAAATGGATGATGGACCTTGTTTGTATAAATCATTATTGAATACATTGATATTCAATAGGTGACATAATCCACTTTCGGAAAGAAAATCGTCAGGGAGACTTTTGAACCGGGTTGTAGTTTCACTGCAACGGAGGTTCACTGGCAGTCTGTTCCACATGGTTGAGTAGCGAATAAGGAAAAAATTCTCACGTAAGTTTGTGTGGGTTCTTGGAATCGCTAGAATATTCTCCTTATTGCGTAGATTGTGGGATGATATCATAAGGTATGAAGGGGTGGATACCGAGGAGTAGGAAATACCGTTAATAAGCCGGTAGACAAAGACAAGATTTAATTTGATACGTCTGATCCAAAGAAGTTCTAAGTTGAGTTGTTGACATCTTTGGTAATAGTCTTTGTTATCGGAATACCCCAGAACAGCTTTGGTGAACTTTCTTTGAACACCTTCAATTCTAATCAGGTCATTATGTCTACAATTACTGTAAACTAAAATACCATACTCAAGAATGGATAAGATACATTTTCTGTATAGTAACAATCTCGATTCGATATTATTGAAGTTTATCATTATCAATCCGATGAGCTTTCTAGATTTAGATACTTGAGATATAATGTGTTCAGAAAAGTTCAGACTATTGCTATATCTTAAACCCAGGTCACGAACAGTGTTGAGAGGTTTCAGTGTATGTGTCTGTACAGTCAGATTTAAGTTAAGACAGCGACCAATGTGAATAAATCCACTTTTGTCAACATTAAGTGGCATATTCCACGAAATACTCCATTCGTACAACTTGTTTATTTCCCCTTGGATTACCGCTGAAATATAGCTTTTTTTCGTGGGAGAAGAGTATGAATAAACTACTTTCAGGTCATCAGCAAAAAGGAAAGGCTTACCATACTGAAAGAGGGAACACACATCATTGATAAAAAGGAGAAAGAGTAATGGACCAAACACACTTCCTTGTATAACCCCACTGGTTACATTCACAGGTTTAGAGTAGCAAGATCCAAAGAGAACGATTTGGCTACGTTCTTCTAAAAAATATTTGAGCCAAGATAAAAGGGGATTCTGTATGCCAAATGAAGAGAGTTTTAAAAGAAGAAGTTTGTGTGAGACACTGTCGAAAGCCTTACTAAAACCGAAGTAAAGAACTATCACTGACTGACCAACATCTCTT